CTTCTATGGACTTTTTGGGGTACTGGGGTTTTTCGCCGTTTTACGGATGCACGCAATTTGTAACCTGGGCATGTTGGGTATCGTTTTACTCGTAACCTCATCTTTTATATTTCATTTAAAAAAAATGGGTATTTTGTTGTGTTTAGGGGCATTTAATTCATTTTTTCACTAAATATTGGGGTTTAATAAGGAGTTGCGCTAATATTGCGCAACATAAAAATTTGCAACTACCACCATTTTATTATATAGGGTCTTGGCATTCAGAAAATATATAATGTTCGGGGGTTTTAAGTAATTTTCAGGCCTAAAATGTGGAATATAACATGGGTACAAAAAAAAAAAAATCAAAGGCCTCAGTCATGAAGGGGTTAAAGGAGAACTATGAGATGAGTGATTTCCACTCACCTCATAGTTCTAGCCGACCTGTGACAATGAGACTGTCACAGGTCGGCTCAGTAGATCGGGAGGTGAGCGAACACATACCGGGTTCGCTCGCCTCTCGATCTTGTCACGGCTCTCTGCCGTGACAGGGGGGGGGCTGGTTCCCCTCTCCGATCTGCCAGCGCTGACTGGCAGAATGGACTGGGTACAGCTGGCTCTGCCTCTACATAGGCAGAGCCAGCTGTCACTCACGCAGCTGGGCGGATCCCGACTTCCAGGTCGGGATCCGCTCCGGCGTCTCAGTATACCGGGAGCTATTGAGCTTAGGGTAACGGGAGGACGCTAGTTTGTGTCCTCCCGTTACCCTAAGTAGAACTATGGGGAAAACACTGACCCCCATAGTTCTCCTTTAATAAGGCTGCCCATTACAGTGATGGGGCAGAACTTTCGACAATAAGAGCTGGTCACTTCCATGCATAGCATCAAGTGGTTTTAGGGCTCACAGGACACTAGACAAAAACAAAAGAACCATCCCAGATATACAACAGCGAAACAACCCTTCTCTACAAAGTGGCAGTTTTTATTGATTTACTGCTACTGAAAACGTAAAAGGGAACCTGTCAAGGCAGACATTACCCCAAATAAGCAAAGGATGGGTTATTCAAAAATGAGGTGAACTGTATTTACAAAATGATGGCCATATGACACTTTGCACCCCCATGTTCCATATGAGGCAATTCTAAAAACAAAACACACACAATATTGACACTGGGGCCTCTAACCAGCACTCACCTTGGAGTCCTGGCCATGGATGGATGTGTTGAACACTGTGGTTGGCTCATGTGTATACAGTGAAGTTGAGAAGCTCCCCCTCTGTGCTGCCTTGAGTAGAAGCGTTAGGGAATGTACAGCGTGTGGCATGATCGGGCCACTAATTTCCAGGCTGAACTGATCTTTGTAGCCGGACTGATCCCGAGTTTTCACATTTAAACTTCTGGCCTACAGAATGCAGAAAGAACAAAAGAAAGTTGTATAAATATAAAATTCATAGCTAAAAAAACAAAACATTTTGATAACCATGATGTGCTTTATCCTACATTAAAAAAAAAACCTTTTAGTGAGTTACATTTTTAGATCTGTCTGCATTCATTTTTATATTTCAATCTGCAGCTGATCATAAAAAGCAATTCTTGTGCTCCAGTGAATGGTGTATGAGCTGTACTTTGGCTGAAATTATGTAATCAGTCCACTGCAGGCAGAACGAAGCATTTCCTTCCCCTCCCCTAATGAGCAGACCGCCACACGAACTTTGTAAAAGTCACAAGGTGGGAGGTTGCAGCAGGGGAATTATCTTTTTTAGACATAAGATCCTGTCGCTGGATGACGCATTAACAAAAGATGGCTTTGTGCTTCAGGAAGAAAACGTAGATGGTATTGTCAGGAGTACTGTGATATCTTCAGCAGTAAATCAATTACACTGACATTACTAAGCATGTATTAAAAACAGAAAAATCTATATCCAACTCTTGGTCCACTTTGATGCATCTGTAAGAGAGCCAAAAGACAATCATTGCATAATGGCAACTTTGTGCTATCTCCTCTGCATCCATAATGGAAGTTGCTGCTTCTTCCTATGGACACAATAACTTCCTAATCTCCAGAGCCTGCTCTCTCTGTAGTCACTAACCACCTTTTCCCTTGATATTACCTTCAGAGTCTGCATGGTGGCTCCCCGGAATGCGACAGGCGACAACAGCGTTGGTGGGAGTCCGGCTTGAGAGCCGGCTGCAGCTACAATGCTCTTGCAGTTGATCAGGAAGTTGAGTAATGTGAAAGTGTTTGCACCTTTCACCAGCACAACAGACTCCGGTCTATGGTCCAGTTTGACTTCATTCTTTTCTTTACGGCTGGTTTGATGCAGGTCAAGGTACAAATGTACATAGGAACATGTGCCAAATTTAAATATATGAAGGCAACAAGAGTGAAGGCCCATTTCCGCCCAAACATTAGGTCAACTTAGAACTGCTCTGATCCAAGAACTTTTGATAGGGAATCAGAGAAACGATGTGCCAGATTTACATCCATGATATAATAATAATAATAATAATAATAATAAAGCTATAAATGTGCTAGAGGAAAGAAAATAAAAACGTATGGTGGATAGAATCACGCCCTCTCCTCACCCTGCTTTGCCACCTCCAGCAGCAGAACATGTGGAGGACTCTTTTGGAACCAAGGTTAAGAAACCCTGCCCTAAGAAACCTGTTGCAAGGGGGTCTGACATCACGTCCTCTTCTTACCCTGCTCTGCCACCTCCAGCAGTAGAACCCCTGGGAACCTTAGATAAGAAACCCTGCCCTGTGTGTGTGGAGGGGGAGGGCCTGACACACCACATCCTCCCCTTAACCTGCTCTGCCACCTACAGTGGCAGAAGCCCTGAGGACCTCTCTTAGAACCCTGGCAAAGAAACAATGCTGTAGGAAGTCCGACACCTGACACATTGAATTCTCTCCTCACTCTGGAAATGCCACCTCGAGTGGCAGAGCCCCTGGGGACCTATTTTGGAACCCCAGTTCAGAAACCCTGCCCTGTAGCGGGTCTGACACCTGCTCTGTAGGAGCCTTGACAGAGCCCTGAAGGAGACAAAGTTAAAAATAAACAGCCTATTAAACATAAAATAAAACAGCTTTTTGCTGCAACATTTAGCTTCAAGCCAGACTTTCTCTGTGGGGTTTATTTTCCCTGCTGCTAGATGTCCTCAGTCTGATGACCAACATCATTGAACCCACTGAGCTCAGGTTGTCCAGGAGCTTCCCTAGACTTTCACTTAACAGAGAGAGAAGCAGCACAGATGATGACTTAAGGAATAAAAAGCTGCATTAATCCGTATTTTTTTTAATCCGCCTTGAGTTTAGCTTATTGCATGGCATAGAACGCGTGTTTAAGCTGCTCGTCTGGAGGTTAAGTTAAATAAACGCAACCTGCTGTAGTCTTTGTTATGGTACAACAACATGACAGGCCAAGAAAGGATACAGTTTGATGGATATGGAATCTGGCTTTTTTATTTTGTCTTCTACTCCCATTTCTTCCAACCACAAGAAGCTTTCATCGTCGTCTTCACTGTCTAGAGGAACCCTGAAAATATTAAACAGAACATGATTAGTAAAAATTCATGGCAAGGATCTAGAAACATGAGGAGAGGAGGGTCTTTTAAGCAGATTAAGTGACGTGTTTCCTGTGTGTGGGGGAGGAGATTCCATCTCGTGATGCTGTCCTGGAAGACTAATGGAAATAGAGTTACCGGTAAGTCCTAACTCTGAATTTCTTAGTACAAGAACTGCTTACCATGCCTAGATTTTAGATCACTATACTGCTACATAAAAAGTAATAAGTACAAAGTAACATTACCACAAAGATAAAAAGGAAAGACTCAAATCCATTTCCTACTGTATGTATAAATCATGTAGTTATGAGGTGGATAGTCTACCTCGGATTATATAAAATCTTGTTTTTCATACCACTTTTTGCCTGTTTTTTTTTTTAGGCATTTTATTTTTACTTTTTCATATAAAACATTATATACATGAAACTGTCACTCACACATGCATTTACGCCTGTTCTCCCCCACCCCTAGGCCCCTGATCGTCAGCAGTGACTACTGGATGAGAAAAATTGTGAATTGAATATACACTATCGTCAATGCCAGCCTTTCTCAACCAGGATGCCGTGGTACCCTGGGGTGTTTTCTGGCTACCTCAGGGTTGCCTCTGATTTTTTTTTTGCCAGCACCATGGAAACCAATGACGCTAAGCCAACGAGGGTGGGATCCATTCAGAAAAGGGATGCTAGTTCTCCTTCAGGGCTTCCCACCTTCTGACATGCTGCAGGTCATTATATGAAGGAAAGGCTTCTTATATGAATAGGGAGCTCCTAACGTGAGGGGCGGACTCTTTATGTCAAAAAGGGTGGGTCTGGTGAGAAGATAGGCTTCTGATTTAAAGGGGATCTCTGATATAAAGAACCCTTTATGTGTTTTGCATAAGGTAGCCCCTTAAAATGGTATCGGTTTTGTGGGGGCCCACATGTAATTTATTTTACATTTCTGTGTTTGAAAATTAAGGCAGGGGTGCCTCCAGATCTAGTATACTTCTAAAGGGTGCCGAAACGCTGGCCTATGCAAATATCAATGTTGCAGGACATGCCTTGCTAAAAATAAAGGGCCTGCTCACATGATATCAGGTCCTGATCAGGTGCGGATCTGCAGACGCGGTGCTAGTGATGCAGTGCGTTTTTGATGCGTTCCAGTTAAAGAAAACATTTTTTTTGCTGGAGTGGGGCTGTCAGTATGTTAGCTGCAGTGCGTTTTCGGTCCGTTTCCTGACCGTACAAAATGCGACATGCAGTATTTTTTTCTGTCGTAACCTGAACCGACTGCGCACGCGAGAACTGTAGCCCATAAAACACATAGGGATACATTGGGATGCATTTTTAGTGAAGGAGCGTACAGATCAGGCCAGCACAGAAAACGGACGTCCTGTGAACAGGCCCAAAGAGTCTCACCTCCAGATGTCCAATAGCAGTCCAACCGATGAGTGGGCAACACAGTAAACACACGCTAACCGGCTCATGCAGCCCAGCCAGCCACCTCAAAGCTGGCATCGGATGAGGCCGCAATGTCCACAGTTGACTATGGAGAACATGTGAAGCAGCCTTGCAAATCTAAGAAAGTTACTCGATGCCAAAAAGCCCAAGAAGCTCTCCTGCATCTAGTAGAGTGCTCCTTGACAGGAAAGGGTGGAACCAGATCCTTGAGACCACAGGGGTTATGCGAGGACACTCACAGCTCTGACCGGTCTCCAATCACCTGATATCTGCATACTGCATTACCCAGTCTCTGAATCTGCCTCCTATACAGTGTGCCCTATAGTGTACGATCAAGACTTTTGGTAAACTGGAGCTAGACAAAAAGGGATGGAGGAATAATCTCCTGGTTGAGGTGAAAGGCAGAAACTACCTTTGGCAAGATGTGCATCATGGGCGTCCCCACCACCTTAGAAAAAGGTTCCTTGTAGGATAAGCTCGCCAACTCATACACTTGCCCCAGAGGCGATAGCTACAAGGAATACCACCCGTGTACATAAGGGTAGAGAGAACAATGTTCCTAATGGTTTCATGGCAGTTTCTGAAGCATCTTAGGAATGCAGCTACTCTAGCGACTGGTAAGCTGCTGCATTACATTTTTGTTTTTTAGGTTTAGATAAGCTTTCATTTTACATTTGACTGAGCAGCTTAGACTTTTTTGTCAAACATTACACTATTAAACATGCAAATTGAAAAGGGAGGCAGAATAGTCAAATATATGACAAATATTAAATACAAGACTCTTTGAATGATCACAATAGACACGAGAAAAGAGGTTTTGTGCAGTGGCCCACCATCCATTCAGAAATATAGCCAGCACATTTAAATGCCCATTTTTTATAAACTGAATATGAACATAAAAAACATTGTAGACTAGTCTCTGCACTTACTCTTCTCCTTCACTTGTGTTTCCAATTTCCTTGTCATCTGAATGGGAAGTTTCAGAACTCTTCTGCTTTCTGTTCGGGTCATTCTCCACCATTGGGAGAGAGAATTCGATTCCTTGAACAAAAATAATTGTATCACACATTACAATAAAGATGTGCAGACACCATTTTCTTTTTTTTTTAGCTGCTTCCACCTTTTACATAAGTTATAAAGTATAGGGGATGCCTAAAATGCAAACCTACCATATATTGTGATGGCTGCTGCTAAGTCTTCTGAAAAAGCCAGCCCCATGGCTCTCATCCATTGAGGAGTGTTGAAGCCAGGAGACCAGCACAACTAGGGTACACAGCAATGGCAATACATTTCTCTAATGACTGGTTTCCTTTAAACAGCTTCATGTCTTAACTAGCAAAACTGATACTGTTACCTAGCACTTAGCAACAAGATCACGTGTTATGGTTACAATTTAGCATTTAAAAAAAAAAAAATGGATCTCTGAGCTCTGCAGTGCAGGAGACTTCAAGAGGCTGGTACCAAGTCAAATTCAGAAACTTGCACTCCTTGCATTAAATAAAAAAAAAAGAAATTGTACGTAAAGAAAAGGTATTCACGGGTAGAGAATTGCATTAACTTGTGTCTTTTTTAACCCAATTTACCTTCATTCCTCATTGCTTCTCTTAATCCTCGTGTGGTTGGAGACATGACCGCCGTAATGACATCACTTCCTGCAATACCGGCTGCCCTGAACAGTACTGTGAACTGATATGTGCACACATAGAAGTATGGGCACAGCTTTGCCTTAACCAAATTGTACAAAGATGTGATGCTAATAGACCTGCAGAGGGGAAAAGAAAAAAGTTTTACCTTTACTGAAAAGTTGTCACACTCTACCCTGCTTAGAAACCGGTGTCTGCATACTCAAATATCCAGCACTGCTTTCTTTCGAAGGCTGGCCATACACCTATAGATTATCTGCAGATTTTCTATAGTCGGATGTAAAACGTGCAACAGATTCCTCCACCTACGCTAAACTGTGTGGATGGTGGAATCTCCCACTGGGCCAAGCTTCAGTATCTTGCTAGTCAGCCCCGCTGGCTGTCAAAATACCTGAACAATCTGATTGGATGCAGGCATTGTTCAGGTGTTTTGACAGCCAGCGGGGCCGACTAGCAAGATACTGAAGCTTGGCCCAGCGGGAGATTCCTCCAGCACAGTTTAGCGGAGATGGAGGAATCTGTTGCATTTTTTCCATCCGACCATAAAAAAAATCTGCAGATAATCTATAGGTGTATGGCCAGCTTTAGCCAAAGAAAGCAACATAAAAAAGTCCAAATTTTAAAATTGGATAAAGTTTGCTTAAACGTCACTACCTCTCTGGCTAATGTTCAATTAAAGGATACATAAAATCAAAAAGAATGTACTATATTGCAGTCCCTAGATTTTGTGATTGCATTAGTTTTCATTTTTCAGGCTAAGAACATTTTCAGCAAGCATAAAAAAAATAACGGCTTATCCTGCCAGTATTGCAGTGTCCTCGTCACTTCTTGGGATCCTAATTAAAAAACACAAACGCCCCCTTCTGCCTTCCAAGCTTTTTCTGTCATTTACAATTTCCCCTATGTAGTGAAGATGAATAGAAGATCCATTTGTATTCCATATTTAGGAAAGCAGCCTTGGGTGTCAACCATGAGAGCAGCGGGTACTGGAGGGACCACAGAGCCGATGAAACACTGGTTCCCAGTGAGGAGGAGAGAAACAGGGGATCCGAATCAATTAATGGATAACGAGAATCAGTGACAATTCTCATTGCCACGTTGATTCAGCCCTACCTTTAGAATATGTTCTGCGCTAGAATTGTCTGTCCTGGTGACACCGTGTTTATACATGAGGCAGAGAAAAGCACTGCTTGAAAAGCTACTCTATGCCACTTCTTTACAGTCCACATCAACCTGAAAGCGGAGGACAAAAATGATATTCTAGCTTAAAGAAAATTAGAAAATCTAAGGGAAAAACAACAACAACAGGGAACCTAACTAATCACTAGAAGTTTAAATACTCATAAAACATGAAGGTGTTGGGTGTACCATTCGCTCATTAACACCTGCTGCAGAGACTCATCTTGAGACCAAGGGCTGTTCTTTCCAATCATTTTGCGATCTACTCCTATTCTGGGGAAGAGAGGCAGCCAAGGCAAGGAGGGATGAAGCCAGGACACCAGAGCTTGCTGAAAAGCACAGCGGAGTTCAGTGCATTGCTTTGGCTCCTAGGGAAGAAAACAAAACGCAGAATTGTTACAGGTGAACCAAATTAAATCCAGTTCCAGGATAATACATGGCTGTTCAGCCCTTGGAATTATTAACCTAATCTCTCAATAATTTACTATGGCCTAACTGTAATTTAGAGAGAAGAATACATACAATGGTGCATAGTAGTGGTTGTCCAAATCCTTTATTATATCTAAGGGGAATTCTAGTCATCTTAATGCATTTAGATGTACATATGAAAGAACAATTTACGATAACAGCGAGCATGCTTTGTGTATTAAAAGCATTGTCTCTGTATATGGTCTGTAATTATCTGTATACATAGGGACAGCCTTTTCAATTACCGTCTTTCAGAGCACTTAAGCTGAGGAACAGGTGAAGGTTTGGTTATTTTTTATTACTTCTAATACTGTTAACATACACCTTAGCGATTTATGATATACAATCATTTTTTAGCTGGATCAATCTATGATCTTCTCTTTTCAGGGACAGTCATTCAGCCAACACTACCTCGCTCTGCTACGAAATAGCTGGCTTGGCTTAAACACAGCAAAAGTATTGTAAGCCTAATGGGGAACTCCACTTTAAATACATAAAAATTAAAGTTTAAAAAAATATGATATAT